TGAAGGGACCAAGTGAAATGAATTACTCCTTTTTTTCAAAATGCACCAATAGGGAGAGCACTTTAGATAGGTAAGTGAATGAATCCACAAGATTGTCAATAGTTTAAGTAAAATTCCTTGAAAGGGAGAGTGGAAAATCACAACCGTGATGATTAGAAACTAGGCACCCTCATTCTTTCATTCCCTACAGAGCTCTTGCATTTAATAGAATAAATCTGAGTCCTTTCATCATTGACAAGTGAAGCAGGCTAGAAGAGAGCAACTATGGTTACTGTAATGTTAGTTTTCAAGGCTGTCCTTGAGCTGGATTCCCCTCTTGCAGAAAGAGCGATCAATGTCATTTTATGCACACAAAAAGCCATCACCCAGCTCAGAGAGCCACAGGACCAGCATTTGGTAACACAAGCCAGCTTGTAGCTAAGCAGGATTAAAGGATTACATTTCATTTATATATTCAATTGTCTATCTGCTTTTCTCACTGTGCATTATGCAGCTCTTGTTACCATAGTACTGGGGCAATGTGAACTTGGCCTTCTTAAAATGCACCACTCTCAACTTGTCTGAAGAGAAAAATGTACCAGAACCTGGTAGAAACCAAACAAATTTACAATTATGGTGCATAGATGGTATGGTAAAGCACCATCAATCTGCTCATATTAAGAAACAGTGCATGAGATAGACCTATGGGGCTCAATTCTTTAGGCTAATTTTCCTTCTGCATCCTAGCAGTCCACCCTCCCAGCCATTAAAAATGGTCACAAAGTCATTGATATTGTCTCCTTACCTTGAGATGAGGGTTATGTCCCTCTGCTTGGATGTGGGCAGTCTCTCTTATTATTTTGATGAGGAGAATACTGTGGAAATAATGCTTAGTTGGTATCTAAGTCTAGGTCTTAAGAGATTGGATGCTTGTTCTATTCCTATGGAAGAGACCTCAGGAAAAAGCCTGAGAAGAGCTGGATGGGTCCCCCTAAATACTCGCAAGTGGTCGCTTGAAGTCACTATGTTAAGGACATAGTAATAGATAACAACTTGTCCTAGAGCAATGGTAGCAATTTCTTTTAGCTAGCTAAATTAGGTCTGCCTCCTGCTTCTACAGAGCTTGGCTGGATCACAGCTACTTCCATTGTTTCCAAATTGTCTATGGCTGTTCAAAGGTACTGAGTGACTTTACAAAGAGACCACTTGGCTCACAAACCTAAAATGTTTACTAACTGTCTCTTTGCTCAAAAATATACTGACTCCTCTCTTAGAAAAAGACTTTCTTGACCTGGAAAAAACTATATTGAGTCCAAGAGAGGCAAAGGATGAGTTTTTTTCTCTTATAAACTTGTAAGTACATTGGGTGGTATGAAAGCGTATACAAATGTATTAACTGAAATATGGTAGATTCAAGGAAGAACTCAATAGGGAAAGTCAAAGTTCAGCAAAACAAGACAACAACAGGGAGTGGGCATTCAAAAGGGGTGTTGTGGGGTCAAAGGGAAAGAGGGATAAGAAGAGGGAAAGAATGCATATATATCCTAGAAAATGAAGAAGAGTTGTGAAGGAATGGGTAGGGGAGGAATAGGTGAGAATGTTCAAAGGGTGACACTGATCCAGACATATTGTATTCATAAACTGCTTTGTAAATAAATTCTTTTGTATAACTACTTACTGATCATAAAAATGTTTAAAAAGAATATTTAGAAAAAAGCCTCTTCTATCAAACCTATTATTCCGTCTCCAGGACAATATTCAATCACTAACCTATTGCTTCACCATGGACAGTCTCACTAGACTAGGACACAAAGATCTTATGCTGATTTGGAGCAAAGCATATCATCTTTGGAAAGCCAGCTTCCTCATTTGTAAAATGAGGAGACTGGACTGGATCAGACTTTCCCTTGAAGAGTTCCATGAAACATTAACCCTCTAGGATGCTCTGTGGAAAAGCACATCTGTAGTGCCCTATAGAGGAAGCAACTCAAGCTGCCTACTTTAATGGGAAGATCAAATGCACATTAGCATGGTCAAGCTTCTGCAGTAAAGAAACCAGACCCTTGTTTACCTAAGTGTTTTCTCAGATGTTTTTGACTTCAGGGCTTTTTTTCCAAACCACTTGCTGTCATTATAGCAAATCCAAATTGCAAACACACATACTTTAGGAAACTCTATATTGGGTGATCTTTGCAGTCTCTGTTTTGATCCAACAGTCCCCAAGTCTCTTGAACTCATTCATGTAACTACAAAGCATTTAACTTTCCCCCACTGTTCTTGTAGCTGTCCCTTCCAGAAACTGTTGCCTTTAACGTCTTTGTGATCGGATTTTACTGGTCCCTGTCAGGAAAATCTGCTGACTTCTCAGACTAAAGATGCAACAGCTGGCTAATGAAGCAAGTTACAAATTTCCCTAAAGGAGCTAAAATGACACGGTGATAATCAAGCTTTGGATGACAATTATAATTGTGGACTTGAAGTAAAGGGACAAATTCAGACACATTTGTAAACTACCACTGACTTTTTCTTTTTTTTGGGGGGGGGGTCCAGTCGTGGGGCCTGAACTCTGGGCCTGGGTGCTGTTCCTCAGCTCTTCAGCTCAAGGCTAGTGCTCTACCACTTGAGCCACAGCACCACTTCTGGCTTTTTTCTTTTTGCTTCTGTGGTGCTGAGGAATTGAACCCAGGGCCTCAGGCATGCAAGGCAAGCGATCTACCACTGAGCCAACTTCCCAGCCCTACTACTGACTTTTATAATCTGAAATTTTTTTCTCCACACCAGAAATGCTATGTATGAAATATGAAATGTGTAGAAAATGTTAAGTATCAAGTAATTTCACCTGGGTAGACTGCTTGGTTAAAATGCCATGTTACCTGACCCGTTATACAAAACAAGGAAGTATTTATCCTGCTCAGATAATAACAGGGCAAGGCTGCCCTCCAGTATGTTTGGCTGGTGGAGATGCTGGGCCTGGGGACAAGTGTTAAAGTTGATTACAGTACTGCTTGTATGTATTTTAAGTATATATTTGTCTCCAGCATTTCAGAAGTAACAAGTTTGTATCAAGTCTCTTAACAGCTAAAATACCTCAGGAATAATAGGACATAGGTACTTTCCTTCTAGTAATTATTAGGAATACATATTAATAAACTCATTTTCTCCAATAAATCTTCTACACATGTATTTCCATTTGGGTTCTGCTACCTAGAATACCAAACTGATATAAATATTTACCAGATCATCCTAAACATTGGAAATGATAGCATAGTTCTTGGCGTTGGGGAGCTGGATAATAAAAGTTTGTTCTCCTTCAGCTGTGATATGTCGTAGGGTCAGGAGCTGGGTGACACATTCTTTTAAAGTCATACAGGGCTTAAATTAAATATTCCACTGTGTAAGTGGACTCTTTGGGGTCAATATGATGATAAACTTCTTAACACAGAAGGATCCAAGCTATGGGAATTATCTGCAGGATAGCTAACCAGGTGTGGGGGGGGGTGGGGAGGAGGGTAAGTGAAATTGAGAGGAGAAAAATGGCCATATATATTTAGATCTAATTTAATTAGCTATCAGAGATCAAGAAATCCCTTAAGCTTTCTGTTTTCATTTGCCTCAATTATCAAATGTGAATTATGTGAATTATGTAGTCTATTTTATTAGGTAACTGTGAAGATTACAGATCATCTCTGTAAAACAACTACAACATCGTCTGTAAGTATCTAACGAGAGGATGAATTATTACTCCTCTTGCCTGAACATCTTTTCATTCATGAAGCATTCAACACATGTTTATTATATGGGCCCACAATAACCAAAAAGTAAAGTACAACAGTGAATGGAAGAGGCCCTGGTCCTCACAGAATCCAACTGGTCAGGCATGGCATGGTGCAGAGAGTGCCTGGTAATGACAACAGAAACAAACTCTTAGTACATCTTGTAGGCATTATTAGAAATTCTTCCACATATACTCACTCCTTGAATCCTTACACCAGCCCCACGAAGGCAGGAATTTGCCCAAGATAGCATAATTATTGTGTATTTAAACCTAACTCTATAGCTCAGAATCTGTGCTTTTATTAGATAGGTTGTATTGCCTCTCTGAAATGTTTGGGTTTTATGCTTCCAAAGAGCATCAATGATCCTTACACAAATATCTATTTAAAAAATGGTGAATCAACTTGAGTAAAAAAAAAAACAAAATGAAACAATTATTTCTTTCAGCAAAACAGAAGCATGGAAACAGTAAGTCAACTAAACAAGTGGAGTCTGGCTAGCCACTAGTAACCCTATGCTCTGTTTCACCTCCCCTGGCCCCTACCCAGCAGCACTAGGAGAAGAGTTGTTTGAGAACAGTTTTTCATTACTCACTCTGACCCATTCATCTGATATAACCACAGGGCTTCTCTAGTAATCTTCTGTGTTGCCAGACTCTTCTGGCAGAAAAGTTAAAGGGAAGCCAATCTGGCATATTTTATTTTGTTCTTTTCTTAAAACTGTTCATATAGCTGGGCACTAGTTGCTCACATCTGTAATCCTAGCTATTCAGGAGGCTGAGATCTGAGAGTGATGGTGGTTCAAGCCCAGCCAGGGAAGACAAGCCCATGAGAGTCATATCTCCAATTAGCCAACACAGAGCTGGAAGTAGAGGTGTGGTTTAAGTGGTAGAGTGTCAGCCTTGAGCAAAAAAACCATGCAAGAACTTGAGGCCCTGAGTTCAAGCCCCAGTACTGACACACATACACACACACAACTCACCACATGACTGAATGCTATACACTACGTGATTTGCTGTGTGTTTACAGGAAGGAAAGCAGGTATTATACATTTAGGTCATTTATTACAAGGCAGACTGATGCCTGAGCCCCACCAACATGTAAGCAGCAGCTTGTTCCAAGGAGTTCTTTAGATTTACATCAACAGACCACCATCACCATAATTCTAGTGCAATAACACTAATAAGAAAATCATCTCCCTCTTCTAGCTAGCCAAGGATGATGAAAACTAAAAATGGTTCTACTTACAGGAGGGCATTGTGCAAGTTTATCAGCTGCCACCAGTTGAACGTTCAAGTGTTTACTTTGGGATTTTCCTCTAGATTTAATCAGCCGCTGTAAAACCTGATTGAAGAGGACATAAACCCCAGGCATTGTCAATGAGTAGAAAGAAAAACCAAATAAACAAAGATCTTTTTATGCTCTGCTTAGCCCTGAGGATTAGTAAAGAGAAAATACAATGTGAGAAACCATATACTATATAAATCCTAAAATGATGTCATCCATTTACATTGGTTTGTGTACTAGCTTCGATAGATATAGTCATCCTATTCTAGCTTATTGTAAGGGCTTAGGAAGATATTGAGTTCCCACTTCAGATTTTGAAATCCCTTCAAGTTTCAGAAAGTCCTAACAAAGTGAACAGGCTGCTCTGCACCAGATCACTTACGTTGGGTAATATTTTGATATTACTCTATTGAGTAATATTTTGGCTCACTTCCTCCATGTCAGATAAATATCAAAGTCAGTTTTTATTGTGGCTCTTTTTCTCACTAATAATTGAGACATTCCAGTTTACTTCTACATGAGTCATGATTATACATCTAGGCAAAACATTTACATTGGTACACTCTTACAACTAGGCCAGCAATGTATTTATCTGTGTCTTCTGTTCACTGCTGTAGCTACACTTGGCCATATATACTTCTCTTTAACTTTTTTTCCTTAAGCTGAACCCAGGCCTTTTCCTCCTAAGCAGTGCTAGTCTATGAATACAGGGGTCTATGACAGTCCTGTCCCCCACTCTTCAGTCACTACAGCCTCTGAGCAGTGGAGGGCCTGAACCACCTCCTCCACTGCAGTGGAGGGTGCTTGAGTCCCTAACACCAGGTAATTTTAATATATGCTACTAATTTCCCAAAGGTGCTTGTTAGTCAGGATTCCCAAGGTCAAAGATGCAGTGCCTGTAGAGATGGCAGATTGAGAACCTTTTAGGAGGGAGAAGGAGACACAGCTTCTTTGAGCTTCCTCTACCAGCAACAGATTAGTGCTCTGGTAGGGAGTTTAATTTCCATTTAAACAAATAAAAGTACATTCAAAGAGATACTGAAATTGATCCTTAATAGTTTCAGAGGTATCTAGTTTACATTAAATTTTTAGAACATTATCAGTTTATAAATAAAAAGTCATTCAGATCAAGAGGCCAATCTGGGACTATCTCACATCTGCTTTTCTCTCTCCAGTGGCCTAAGATTTATGGCAAATGGTGCTTATCTCAGAGGAAGTAAATTTCAAAAAGAACCCAATAGTAACACAAATGTCAAGGTCTATAATATTTCCATGTGAGATATTTTCATAGTGATATTTCATTCAATATAGCATACATATAGATACTTTCTTGAGCTATATGATTTCCCCACTGGAGAAATTCAAGAATTGATATTATCCAAGAAATTTACCAAGATAGAACCTACAGTCTATGAAAGACCAGAGTCTAGTCTATCTTGTCCTTTAAATTTTTTAATACCTTTTTTTAATTGTAAAAATACTGTATATAGGGGTTACAGTTACATGAGCAAGGTAATGAGTAAATTTCCTGTCAAGCATTGCTACCTCCTCCTTTGGTTTTCCCCTATTTTGTTTCTATTATATACTTATATAAGTGTTTGTCTGGGGAACCACAATGGACAGTGAACTTCTTGAAGGAACTAACTATTCTTTATTTGCTATCTCAAAATTCCTAGAACCCAAACACTGTTTTCAAATGTACTCATTAACAAAATCACACTAAGATGTTTTTCTTGTTCACTAAGCCAAGAATACTTCAAAGGAAATATGCTTCTAATTGTTAAGGAAGCAATGAGTTGATTACCTTTGGAGATGAGACTTTTACATGAACAATAATTGGTGCTAAGGAAGTCTTTATGAGTTGTGCTGGGTGATTGATGGTGTCTGCATCCAGAACAACCAGCTGCAAAGATCTTGCCAGTTCAAAGATTCTTTCAATTTCACTTTGCACTTCGGCTAAAGGAGAATACAATAAGTAACAGATACTGGCTATTCCCATTATAATTTATGTTAAAAAGAAATAGAATGCCTTCCAGATATGTTTATCTACGTTGTAAATACAATGTGTTTTTGAAATGTTATTGTTCTAATTTAAAGTCTTTTCTCATGACAGAGATAGATTGCATTTTGTACAAGAAACAACACAGTTGGTAGAAACTTGAGATAGCTCTTTTGACTTGTTTCTTATATTCAACCTAACATATAGCTAACATATATATACACTCAGCCTAATAGATGGTGATACTTTTTTGTTGTTTTTGATTGTTGCTTTATTCTAAAGGACTTTCATTTTAACTGTGGCGTCAGAAACTACATTTAGGAAACAGCCAAAATACATATGTAAAACATCATCAAATTACACGTAAGTATTTCCATATCAGCAAGTTACACATTAATATCATATAGATAAGATTTTGAAAATTATCTACAACTCACTTGTTTTCACTGTTATGTACACCTCTGTACGCCTACCAAACTGTTCTAGTTTCCTCTAGCACATCATCAGATCTGAACTACATCAGTGGAGTTTTCCAAGGGATAACTATTTTCTTTGTTCTTTTTGGGAAAAACAGCTAAAGCTAATTTTATTAAAATGATACAGTTCATCTAGATGCAAATCAATCTGGCTGACTATAATAGCCAATCCAGCCTTCTCAGCATTTTTTTTTTTTTTTTTTTTGAGACAAGGTTTCCTATGTAGATCAGGTTGACTTTGAACTTCTGATCTTCCAGCCATAGCCGCTTAAATGCTGAAATTACATGAATACATCCCCACACTCAGCCAGTTACTTTTCTTTTTAAGGAAAACATGTGACCAAAAGATATTCTTATTTTCTGAAACTTGTAAACTCTTTCATCATGCCTGTATTTGTTAGGCCCTGTACAAAGCAAATTAGACTATTTTGTATTCAGAAATATGACTTCCATTTCAGTTTTTTACTTATCTTTATGACTACAGGTATGAATTAATAATGTTTTAGTCAGGTCCAAAGTACACATAGTAGGAAAAATTATGAAATACAATGTTGAGCAAGGATAATGTTGCTCTAAATAGTCTCATGGAAAGGGCATACATCTGAAATTCTCATGATTTTCTTTGCTTATCTAGTACAAATTCAAGTTTGCATCAGCCACCAAAAAATTCTTCCTTCTTTAACCAAAACAATTGACAGGTATTGAGCATCATAAATATTAAGGATTATCATATAACTCTATTGAGAGAGGAACTTTTCATAATAGCAAAAAAATTTATTTCCCATAAAACTCACACATGTCTAATGCATAATTATTAGAAGTATGAATTCAAAGAGTCAACATATCAATTATTTTCCATGTTATCCAATAGCAGTGGCTATTTGTAGGGTTATTTGCTAGCTTCTTCTGCAATTACATTCTACATTTGTTAGTAATAATAAACATGAGCTCCCCTCCCTTTGCTGACATGTCATCTGGGCCTTAGTTGCTCTGAACCAGCAAGGAGGTTACATGTGGTTTCTGCCAGGAGAGGATGTGCACACCCACTGCTTAACCAACACAAACCCTTGGGCAATGGCACTCTGGCATAAACACTGGGTACAGCAAGCCATGAGGCCACAGAGGGCTACATTACATACTAGCGTGAGGCCTAGTAGTAAAATCATATGTATGGGTATCTAGATTATAAGGAAGAAACTACAGATTCAAAGAAGAGAAAGGCATGTATTATCTACACAGCTCATTTTCTTCAAGGAACTAAAACCCCCTCAATCAAACTAATTACAGCTACCCAGACTGATCTGCAGAATGGTCGAGGATGAATACAATCCATAAGCAGCATGAGTTCGGTGCTGTCCACAGACCCTCTCAACCACGGCCTTTTATTCTTCTCTATTATGGTGAATCTTATGATGTTTTCTGATAAGTGTCCTTGAAAAGATGGGTTTAAATTTCCTGCTGTTAGTAATGGTGGGCACCATTTTCACTTAAAGGTATGACTATTCTGTGTACCACTAGCTAGCAACAGTAAGAAAACCATCACCTAACTCTTCTAAAGATGGGAGGAGGCTGAGTACCTCATTTCCTTTCATGCCAGCTGTGACTCAGGTATGACAGATATCATTAACCTCATAGAGAAGCTTAGGTGAAGCAGTTTCACACAGTTAGCAACAGACTAGGCAAACCCATGGAGGATTCCTCCTAGCAGATGACTAATTAGCTAATTGATGACAGAGAGAGAGAGAAAGAGAGAGAGAGACAGAGACAGAGGGAGAGACAGAGACAGAGGGAGAGACAGAAGAAGGGAGAAAGAAGGAGGAAGAGGGAGAAGAAGAGGAGGGAGAAAGAAGGAGGAAGAGGGAGAAGTAGGAGAGGAGGAGAGGAGGAGAGGGGGAGAGAGGAAGGGGGAGAGAGGTAGGGAGATGAAGGAAGCAGGAGAGACAGAGCAGGCTCTGGCTGCTGCAGGATTCTGCTCCTTTCCCATCCCTGGATAGCATTCTCTACAGTTATACACACTTTACTGTGCAGAACAAGGAGCAAATTAGAAAGGACATTCATAAACATATGCATCCCAGCCAGAAAGCACAGCTTGGAGAAGAGTCATATTTGAGCATCTTACCTAAGCTGGATCTGGTGTTCGAACGTTCAATTATTGCTCTCTTGCTGGGATTATTTAGGACAGACCTCTTAGCAAGAGAAATGTCAGCTGTCACTCTTGTTATTGATATCCTATGAATATAAACACAGAACAGAACAAGCCAGTTAAAATGTTACTGGGCTCTCCAAATGATTTATAATCATAGTACTTAATAAACCACTTATTATACTGTGAGACCACAGTATAATAAGCATTGGCCACAAGTATTTTAAACAAGCTTTGGCTAGTATTAAAATTCCAGTGGAGCAAATGAAGGAAGGGTTTTGGCTATTTAACTGAAAATCTATTCCAATAAAAATGTGCTTCCTGCTTTACGGCTTGTCTAGCAAAATTCCCTTCATAATGTCTACCACACTGGAAGGGAATCAAAACATGAATAAACCATGCTCTTTCTAGGAAGCAGCAATACAGTTTCCTCATAATTCACAGCTGATTTGCTCTTGAAAAAGACCTTCAGGAACTACAAAGGCTCTGTCCCAGCATTTCAATGCTGCTGGCCAATGGGGTAACTCTCTTTATTTTGATCATCAAAGACAATCAACCAATTAGTGGCTGTTTCATTCCTTATGCTTAAATGTTAATTCATGATAGATGGAGTATTTATCCTCAGTTCCAAAAGGAGACTTCATTTTGGATCTGGGAAGACAAAAGAGTATGCAAAATATGGTCCTCTTTCTGCAGCTACATAATTCTTCAGCATACTTGTATATAACTTTCCATATGGCCACATATGGTGAGCAATCCTAAAACACTACAGGTGAGAGCAAATGAGAACCATGCCAAAATTTTAGTAAGTATAAAAGAAAAGAATAGGTAGTAAATAGAGAACTATTTGAACATGACTTATGCAATAAGACCACCTGGAATTTACAGTTTTAAAACCATTTTAAATTGGGATTGCTACCATCTATCTCCCTGTTGAATTCAAAGCTCGCTTTTCTTTCTGGACCAGTTACCGCTATCCTAATCCCTTTCCCAGTTCTCATCTTCACAGCATGGCAGAATTTTTCAAATGGGGACAAGGAAAGTAGCACTGCTTCTTGTTAATATTCAATGAGAATTCCCTCCTTTTCACGTCCAAACTCCTTTGGGGGTTAGAGCAGTGAGGAGGGGAGATTAACCTCAAATCTCCATATATAAGCCAAATCCTCAACTGCAAATAAACCATCTTGGCCTTGCTCTGTGGATTTAAATCACAATGAAGTTGGATGAGTGCTATTTTGGGGTCTCTTTTCTCAGATAATTCAGTTTAGAACCATGGATCTCATAGGGGGCTAGTTTTCTTGCTAAATAGGGTTTGTGTTCTTTTTATTGTGTTTCTGGATTTATTGTTCGTTTTAAGAGTAAGCTACCAGATAAAAAACATCCTGAATATGCAGAACAACCCAAATATGAGATTGTAGACATGTTTGCTTGGCTTATAGACAAAATCCAATATGTTTTTTTTTAAGTTTCAGATGGAGTCCCACTACATAGTCCAGAATGGCCTTGAACTTGAGATCCCTAGCCTCAGCTTCCAAGTGTTATGATTACAAGTATATACTACCATTTCCAGATATCAACTGTTTAGAATAATAGTTTCTGCATCAAGGAAAGTCAAATTTTCTAGCTCTATATAAATCAATCAATGAATGTTGCTTCTAAAAATGTGAAAGGGTTGTGGGTTTTCTTATTTCTGAGTTACAAAAGCACTTTTACAAAGCCATTTTCAAACACAACTAAAGTTTTTAAAAATAAAGAAAAAAATGCTTCATAAGTTAAAAGTAGAGAAAAGAGAGGGCATGTAATCCTAGCTACTCAGGAGGCTGAGATCTGAGGAGGACAGTTCAAAGCCATCCTGAGCAGGAAAGTCTGCTCCAATTAACCAATAAAAAGATGGAAGTAGAGCTGTGGCTCAAGTGGTAGAGCACTAGCCTTGAGCACAACAGTTCAAAGACACTACCCAGGCCCTGAGTTCAAGGACTGGCACAAAAAAAAAGGAGAAAGGATATAGAACATAAATGCTTCTTTTTTCTTATTTTATTTGCTAACACACATGTATAAAGCAGAGCTTTGTCCTAGAAACCTTTCTCTAAGAGAAAATGGAAGTTTCTCTCACAAAGATGCTTACTATCATTAAAATCAGTCACCAACCCCCAAACTCTTCTTTTGTAGGAAGGCTCCCGCCAAGACAATTACATTATCAAATGTTTTTGTAAAAATACATTTTCTACTTCTTTTTTTGGCTATACTTATCTCCTCTGGTAGACACCATACATCTCTCAAAAGTTTGACATGAATCTCTAAAAAGTTCTCTCGGAAAACTATCTGTGGCAGAGTGTTAATCGTTAATGGCCAGAAGTTGAACGACTAAAAGGAATCTAGTTCTCCAACAGACTTGGTGTAGTGGTGAATATCATTGAAAGCTAGCAAAAAAAAGAATTTCTGATTGCAGTAAATCTGAAATCCAACTGCTGCTTATGTCTACTTTGGAATATATCTTTTTTTTTTTTAATCAGTACTGAGGTGTGAACTCAGGGCTGAGAGCTTACAAGGGAGATGCTAAGCCATACTTCAAGACCTGTTTGGGGCTGGTTATTTTTAATATATAGTCTCACTTCCCACCTGGGATCACACCTAGAACATGATCCACCTATTGCAAGCTTCCCAGCATTTCTGGAATGACAGGAATGTGTCATCACATCCAACTCCTCTGTTATTTTGGCGTCTCATGGACTTTCTGCCTTGATCTGAAGTCCTCCTATTCTTACCCTTACAATAACTAGGATTAGAGAATGAGCCACCCTCACCCAGCTGGAATTCATCTTAATTGCTGTCATCCATGGCTGTGACTAGTTTTCTGTGCTTTTTTTCAATGAAAAGATACTACTTTGGGTCATGACACATGCATTCAAAAATAGTTACTTCCATGTTGGTAATATAACAAAAAATGCTCTTCTACTCCTTGTTTGCTACATTTAATAAGAAGCCCATTCACTTTAATATTTAAAAAAATTCCAAGCTTTAATAGGGAAGTGTTTTAAAAAACGTAACAGTAAACTGTCACTAGGATAGGGATGAAAGGCACAGGAGGATTGTGGATTTCCCTGGCTCTTAGCATGATCAGGGACATCTCACACCACCTTTTGGGCCTCCATGTCCTAATCAATAAAATGATGAGAGTAGATGTGTCATAACTATCTCATGAGTTAATACTAGGAACAAACATATAAAGAGCTTTCTTAAATAACTAATTATTCTTGTCTACATTGAAAGATACATCAACTTGAAGGAGTTTTTCTTTTAACCTAGCCTTAATAGCGAGCAGCTTACTATAAACTATAGATGAGTAAATTACATCAGTTATGATATAATTAAAATCTACTAATTTAAACATTCAAGTTTGACATAAAAGTCTATGACTAAGGCGGCATTTGAATAGACAATAGTAAAGGGAGATGATAGGATTACAAAACATTTGCAATTACAAATGGCTTTGCTTGGCCTGGCTTCTTTGTGACACCATCAATGGATTCCATTTCCTGGTATAATAAACAGTGTACTCTCTCAGAGTATCTCCCCAACTTGCATCCTGAGCTTCTCTTTCAATTTTTTTCTCAATATCCCCCCCTTCTTTATTGTTTTTGTCATGTTCCCCAACTGCTGTCTTTAAGTTTAGAATTCTATTTCTTTAGGCTTCATGGTATTCATTTAGGATTTTAAGTCATGATCACATGAGTTACAAAGTGTCTGATAAATGCCAGAGAACTGATCTGGTCTAGCTGTCAAAATGTCTAAACTGATTTGAAGTGATTGACATTGGTCACCAAACACTAATTGCTTTGAGTGCTTGCAGGTCGATCTAAGAATATTAGACTAAATCAGCTGAACAAGCTGGATCCTTCCATCTGGGTGGTATGCTATGAAGAGAGTTGTTCCTCTCCATAGGACACTCACTGTCCTCAACCAGGCTGACTGCCAGTATAACACACTGCTGGGCCCACTTCAGCTACAGTCTGCATGCAGTCACCCTCACTAAGGTGGATATTCATGCATAGAGCATCCTGCAGGAGCTTCTTCATAGTAGGCTCCACAATAGGTGCTACAGCAATAAAACGGTATAATTAAATAGATTTAGATGGACTCAAACACTTCGAAAGTGTCATAGAAGGTTACCTACATTTATGATTTGGGAAAAGCCAAACATTTGAACTTTCCTTCACTGAATTAATTCCTAAACAAGATCTGAAAATTTGTGTCAAATTAGAAAGCCTGCTGTTTAATGGATTTCTTCTTTGTTCTCTCTGAAAAAAATAGTAAGACTTCCAACTATTTTGTCTAACTGACTGCATCTGCAGCCAATGAAGAACTGAATAGGTTCTTCCATTACACACACTGTTTATGCTCTATTACTGAACGAAAGCCTTCTGTGTAATTGTTCTCTTGGATAGTTTCAATTAAAGAATGTGTGTTGTTTTCTCTCCTTTCATTAATTGGCGCAACACAAGGCAGCAGACTGTCTTATCTCAAAAAATAAGGCCAACTGCCCATGCAGGAGACACAAGTCAGTAGTAAGCTACAAGACAATCTCTTCATCCTTCTCCAGATCTCCACATACACATTCACCAACAAATTCATTGTTTACTCTGCTGCCTGCCCTCTCATTATTTATTATTTAAAAGCATTCTCCTACCCTCACACTTAATATCTGTTTGTCTCCAGTTCTGCTTGTGTTTCAGATCTCTTCAGGTCTGTCTCGATCTCCAGCTTACTATATTTGCTGCCCTCTAGTTTCCCTGGCAGTTCATGTTACTAGACACCATGACTATTGACATAAAATTTTAATTCTCTTTCTAGTAAAACTAACTTCAAAAACATGTGTACAGTGACTGGTCCAGGTGATCCTACTTAATTCAAAAGAACTTTTGACTACTACAGTGAAATGAGTTGCCTCTTTCTGGATCTCACAATTGAAGAAACCTCAGATTGTTCATTCTTGATGCCAGTAATTAAGTCACTCACTTTCCCTTTGTTAAATTACCTGAAATCCTTTCTTCTTTTCCATCAGTCCTATCTTCCAAACTTAAAAAAAAAACCAGTTTATAGATCTGCTGTGTATAGACCAAAACAATCTAACACACTTGTTGGCTCTGATGTTCAAATCAATGGTTGACCTGAGGCCACAGCATGAAGCATCATTCAGAACAGCCTTTGATAAAGACATGTCAGGTTTAAACCAGTGACTGACTACAATTGAAGGGATTGCACATATGAAACCCTAAACAGAAGACTGGGCCTGTGTACCTTAGCTGCTTTTAATCCTTAGAAAGATACATGAGGGTCTGGGTTATATCCCAGATCAGAAAGAGCAGAACAAGATCACTGTTATTAAAGTCAGGGTTTGGTTGTTCCTTGTAATGAACCTATAGGAAGTGAATTCTCAGTAGCCACAAGTTTTCAAACAAAATTATCTGATTGTGGTTGATAGTAATGGGAAATTAGGATTAAAGAATTTCATGTTTCCTTTTTGATATTTTTCTAGCATCCAGCATTTAAAAAAAAACAAAAACCAAAAACGAACTAGTTCTCCACTAGTCTTCTTTCATTAAAAAAAAAAAAAAAAGCAGAATAGAGAGCCAAGTCCTTCTTGTAAGTCCCTTTGTGCCTACTAGATGACTACTGAAGATGGTTATTAGTTCAATATAATATATTTCTCTTCCTCCTAGTTATTTAGCTAAATTATACTTTCCAAATACATGGAAAGATGTGCACTATTTCCAGGCCTTGCTTGCACCTTTGCTCAATTGGTTGAGTGGAAAGATCACCCCAGGCCAACAGCTCCAAATGGTAGGAGCAGCAAACTTCAATCCAGTTTTCCCTCCCTCTACTTTATCATCCTTCCCAGAGAGGTACACTTGTCTCAGATTGCTAAGTGAGCAATAATAAGCCTCCATTGCACATTTGGAGTCTGCTAACTAAAGCACCCATGGCCTACTTAGAAATCATTCTATGCCATAGAGGTTGAACCAAAAATTCTACTATGAAAATTAAATAGTCAGCTTATTATTTTTATATATAGTTCCTAAAACTAATGAATATATTTCATTTTCCTCAAATTAAACTAATAAATATTTTGTCACCATCACTCAGAATTATTTTCCTTTATATATAATTTGTACTTAAATCATTATTGGGTTTCTTTTAAAATACTGTATGTATCAAAATCAATTGGAAACTATTATATTAAGTGAAGTAAGCCAGGCCCAAAGAAACATAGATCCCATGGTTTCCCTTATTTGCAATAACTAGTATATGTCTGAGACAAGCAGAAAAGGTCAGATAAGATGATGTTAGGTGAAGTGAACCCCAAGATAAGGACACAAGTGGTTTTTTTTCTTTCTTGCTATTGTTTCTAACGTATTTATAAGGTAATTTTTTTTGTTGCTTTGTATGTCCCTCCCCCATGGTATAACCCCTGTTTTTGATGTTGTATTTGATGTTGGTATAATTTGGGGAGGGGAAGGGAGAAAACAAATTGTTTAAATATGGATACAGGTAGACCCATTGCAACAACAAGATGTACAAGATGCTATGTTGAAAAACGAACTTTACAACTTTGGTGGGGGGAGGGGGAATGTAGTCATGGAGATGGGAGGGCAGGGATGGTGGGGGGAAACAAAGGAGGAGGCAACAATGCTTGATAAATGTACTCATTACCTTGCTCATGTAATTGTAACCCTGCTGTACGGTATTTTCACAATAAAAAACTTATTTAAAAAAAGAAAATATTTAAAGGTTTTGTTCTTAATCTAACTGAAGCAAATACAATGGAAACATTTACTAGCATTTCTCAATGTACACCATTTAAGTTTCCTTTACTTCCGAGAATATTAGATGTTTTTTCTGTGGTGTTTATTATATGAAGAGCTGTGGAAGAACTAGAACTCAGTATTGTGGCAACATTGCCTTTTAAAAAATCATTTCTCTGTAAAGCACAGAAACAGTTCCCACAAAACTTATATGCTAATATTACGTGATGGCTGGGTCACAATGATGATGAATCATAGCAAAACAGACCCTTAAAATAGGTGATTTTTAATCAAACAAACCAGAATAAAACCTTCAAATATGTACTACTTTCTGAAAAACAGTCACTTGAAAAGCTTAGAATATATTTTAAAAAATCCTGATCTATTCTTTTAAGTCAATTTTGTACTTGACACGTACACTGAGGTATTCACACACATATGCATGCTTGCATACCCATGCACGATTCAAAAATATTACCCAGCAAGGCCCTTGAGCCATCATATTGATCAGAACTACACATTTTAATTAGTCTTTTTGAAAATCAATTTGGTATGAATCCACTAATAAATGAGAAAACAGAGACAAATACATACATTTCAATCAAACACATATTGTTTTCCTTTTCAAGGCCCCTTTTCCCTTGGGGATTCATCACATTTTTTTCAGAGCTCTTTCATGTATATTTCCCAAGCACACTGAGTCAACTTTTAAATAAAGAACTTCTGAAATCACCAGAAACATAGATGTACAAATCAATGTATCATACTTGTTCAGTTAAAAGAAAATAATACAAAAAAATCTATGTCTCACCTCCCATCAAACCTGTGTTTCAGGAAATCAAAGAGGGCTTTCTGCATCATATCTGTTACCTTTGCAGAAGTGAGAAAAAAAGAATGAGGCACATACACAGGGAGGAAGAGAGAAGAGAGAGAAAGGGGAAAAGAAGAGAGAGAGAAAGAGAGAGAGTCAAAAGTATGTAAGTTAGAAGGGAAGGGCGCTATGTGTTAGCAGAGACCTCATCAAAACCAGTGGTCTCCTAAGGGGTAGTCTCCATGCAAGGCATTTTTCATGTGTAACCAAGTATAGTTGTTCATTTCTCCCTCTTGCCTCTTCTTCAGGGTACTGAGGAATGAACTGACAATGTTCATAAGACCCAACGCAAACACATTTCCCTCTTCCTTTATTAGGGGGTAGATCTGCCACCAGGGGACAATAGGCTGGCTTTGCTTACAGCTGCTGGCAATCCTTGGCATGCCTGGCTTGTGCTTACCTCTAATAAAGAACAGTGAGAGGCCCCAATGCCAGTTTGGGGCTTGGCTTTCCTGCTAGTCTGTACATGTTAGTTGAAATTCTTCTCATCCAGGGCCAAATTCTGGTAGATTATTTTCCTGCTCTAGCATCTGACATTTCTAACTCAAAGGAAGCCAGAGACAGAGGATTCTTAGACCTCCCTCAAACAACTCATTAATTCATTCAACAAGCATGTAGTGAGAGTCTTAGTGTGTTCTAGATCAGAGGGAATAGAGGTCTAGAGGTTGCCTATTATCAGATTTAAATGACAATTCTTATCTATTTTTATCCATGCCAATACAAAACAGCAGAAATGTGAAAGCCATGAGTCAAAAATCTCTATTCTTTCTTGTTGCATAGCATCATTTAATTTATATCTATAGTTCACTTCACTCATGTTTTAAGTGTATTTTTATATATGTACTTTCAAATAAGCCAAAAACGATTTGGTGGACCAAGTCACTATTTTAAGCACCTATGAAATTGGTTGGTTCTTTGAGAGTTTCAGCATAAAAGATGAGATATATGCCTGAGAAGAAAAAGAGAGGGCTAAGGACCACAGCAGCCCTACCTTGTACCACCCACTTTCACATACTGAGAGCTGGCCTTCCTTAGTTCTTATCTACAAACAGACCCTACGGAGCAGGAGCCCAAAGGACTACCTCCTGGATTCTCAGTCAATAACTAAAGAGAAACAGATGATGTTTGTACCTCATAACCTTTCAGTGACGGCCCCACTAGCACCACCGGACGCATCGATGGCACAACATCGTAAGGAGGGATGTGTTCCGTCTGAAAAAGATGATTTGACATGCATGACAAGGTGAGGTGGAGCACACCTCCTTGGCAGCCACAATAATTCTCCGTAATTCTCAGGTTGAATGAAAAATGATTACCAAAGCTCCCCACCACGAGGCTCATCCCGTACTTTCTAGCCACTGGGTGGTCACTGAAATGGAGTGTTGCAGGCATGTACGCAAAGGAACCTTAACAGTAAATTTAAAAAGGAAACACAACTTACCACTTTTTGCTTCTGTTTTGCTAAAAGACAACAATGAGAGCCATATCAAAATATGTAATCGCTGTAAAGGATCGCATATGAGTTTACAAGATGGAAGGAGGAACCCGTTTGTCCTTACAATTATCTTCATAACTTCCCTGTCACCCACTGCTGTTGTTTCATCTGGACCTGTACTTTTGAAGTCAAAGGAGATGTAACTTCCTCCTTGTACAAATGACTTTGCTTCTTGACTTTGTGTTAAGCAGGGTGGCTCACAGGTGCTCACAACAGCACTGGAAGTCTTAGCTATTAACCCTGGGGTATTCCCAGGCTGAGCACAGCACACAGTGTGGCACAGGGCAAGGTGGACAATCAAGTTTCATAGAAAAGTAACCGAATAACAATTTGTTATGAACAGAATTTGTCTACTAACAGAATAGCAAAAATAACTATTGTAAAAAAAGACGATTGCCTCAATTACTAGTTGTTTCTTATTTGTATTTGTAACTTTGGTGACTCGGGAGAGAACTTTGCAGGCCTCATTTTCTAGAATGAAATGAAAATTGTATACATGTGTATTTTTTCTACTAAGTTGCTTTAAACTTCAAATCAGCTGATTGCCTGTTCTTCCCATTTATTTTCTTTTGTTCCCTATTTGTAATAATAAAAGCTACAATGTCCAGCAAATGGAAATGAGGCAAAAACACACCCAATATTTGACGAAAGTGACTTTATTGCCATCCAAGCATTTCTTATGTGGGAGAAACCTAGATGTATAGTCAGAAAGGGTTCTCAGGAACAAGGACCAGATCTTTTTCACTGTTCCAGAACCAACTCAGTTTTGACATCCAGAACAGAGCTTGGAACCTGCTAGTCCAAGTTAATAATGTGTTAGTAATGCTAGATGCTCTAATACTGTTTCAGTTCTAGGCCAGAAAGAAATTCATCTTTAGAACTTAGAGCATGTGATCTTTCCAAAGACAGAACCAAATCCTTGAGTCACACCATCCCTTTGTTGCCATTGATCCCTGGGTTCAGATGTCTGTTGTCTAAACAGACATTCAAGATCCTTGGGCCTTACCTCTTTATCTCCTCTAACCCTCCTAATGTCCATAACCCCAGCTGTCCCAATACCTGCTCATGTGGAGAATAAACATTGTCTTGAGCATCTACAACTTTAAAAACAATTCTATTGGCTCTCACTATCCTAAAGTCTCTTGTGTTCTTGAATAGAATAATTGACTTGTTGGAAATTGGTTTACACAATGGACATTATTGGCTGTCGGGGTAAATTAAGATTTTCAAAATTATCATGACCCAATTTTCTTATTCATTAGTGCTCTTTAAGTCAAGTCGAATTGCCATAAAAAAATGAACAATGAAATATTGAAAGAAGCTTTCAATCAAGCTTTTGTTTCCAAATTAATAAAAATACTTGCAAGGATGTTATAGTATTAAGAAGGAATATTTTCCATTAAAAGAAGTTGAATTAAAGCTCTCACCTGTTGATGTAGGAGTTGCTCGAAATGTCCCTGATACCATTTCTCCAAGACTTGAAGAAGAATTTCCACTCGATTTCCTAGGATATACAAAGGAACTTAAAACTTACTCCCCAGATTCTTTGGAATTATAAATTGAGAATCCAAAGCTTTCTTTGGCCTTCACTGTACTAAATAATTCAAAATGTATCAAATCTTATCAGAGAGAAGAACTTGAAGAATCTGTTTTAATGTTTTCTTTGACCTCATTTCTTAGAGCAAGTGGAGACCTAACAGAGACCAAGGAATGCTTTGCAAAAACATTGCTTCCAGTTATTCAGTGCAGGAATCAGTCGAAAGAATTCTAGTTAGGAATGTCCTTGTAGACTGCCTGCTTACCTAACAACACTAATGTACCAGGCTCAAGTCAAACAGCTCAAAACATGCAAGAAGATCTACTGGAACCATTCTAATTAAAAATGTGTATGGGTCAGAGTTAAGAATAATGGGCAATTAGGTTGGATGCCAGTGGCTCACACCTGTAATTCTAGATACTCAGGAGGTTGAGATGTGAGGATCATGGTTCAAAGCCAGCTTGGGGCCAACTTGGGCAAGAAAGTCCATGAGACTCTTATCTCCAATTAACCACTAAAAAAGCCAGAAATGGCAATAAGGAGTTAATCACAGATAATATTGTTTGTGACCTGAAATGCAAGTTTATTAACACTGATCTCCTCATGTGTGCCTTGCAAGGCTCCTTGAGCCCTATAGAAGCCCTGGGGAACTTACCTTCCTATGTCTCACCTGTCTCTCCCATTAAGTGCTAAAGAAAATGATAGAGACCCATTCCTGGCACTGCCACTTATTATCTATGGGGCCTTGGCACATTCCCATGTCTCTCCAGGTATAACACAGAAACTACCTGTAGCTCACAGGGGTGCCATAATGATATAGGAAGATCCTGTCAGAGAGCTTTTGGCTTTACTATGGTTTCTGCCCCAAAGTTGGCTTCAGTTAAATTTAAATATATATATATATATATATATATATATATATACACACACACACACATATATACACACATATATACATACATACACACAAGAGTATTATGGAATATTAGTAGTAACAATAAAAATTTGAAATAATGACCATAATTCATTATCTCATTTATTCTATTTAACAAATAGTGGTTCTATGTTCTTGCTCTAGAAGCTAGGATGACAACAGTAAGAAGAAGCAAAATCCTTTCCCTTAGTGAGTGACAGTCTAGAGAGAGGTATCAGTGCTAAATAAGAGAAAAATATTTCTTTTTTTAAATTTTTTTATTGTGAAAATACTGTACAGAGGGGTTACAATTACATGGGCAAGATAATGAGTACATTTCTTATCAAGCATTGTAGCCTCCACCTTTGTTTCCCCTTCCCATCCCTTCCCAGCCTCCCCCCCCCCACCCGCACCAAAGTTGTAAAGTTCGTTTTCAACATACGACTTGTACATCTCATTGTTGCAATGGGTCCACCTGTATCCCTATTTAAACCATTTGTTTTTCCCCTTCCCCTCCATAAATTATACCAACAAAGAAATAATCTTATAAATGTGTTAGAAACAATCGCAAGAAAGAAAAAAAAAACATTTGAAAGGTTCATTTCCCTAACATCACCTTATCTGACCATTTCTGCTTGACTCAGACATATACTAGCTATTGCAAATAAGGGAAACCAAGGGTCCTATGCTTCTTTGGGCCTGGCTTACTTTACTTAATATAATTTTTTCCAAGTCTTTCCATTTCCTAACAAATAGGGCAATGTCATTCTTTCTGATGGAGGCATAGAATTCCATAGTGTATATATACCACATTTTCTTGATCCATTCATCTACTGAGGGGCATCTGGGTTGCAAAACAACATTGAGATACCACCTCACTCCAGCTAGAATGGCTATAATCAAGAACTCTAATAACAACAGATGCTGGAAGGGATGTGGACAGAAGGGAACCTTACTGCATTGTTGGTGGGAGTATAAACTTGTTCAACCACTTTGGAAAGTACTATGGAGGTTCCTCAAAAGACTCCACATAGAGAAATATATTTCTGAGAGCAATAAATACAACAGAGAAATCTATATCTGAGAAGGGACAGAATATAAAGGGAATGGAGTGGGAATACTTATAAATTCACAGGGAGCCAGAAAAGGATCATGGGAAAGGTGATAATTAACAAAAATCAGAATCCAATGAAGAAGTGAGCCAGAGAAACTATGAAGAGAAGGTTCTAGTAGGAGGAATGCAAAAGTTCTGAGGTAGAATCATGGGTTCCAGTGTATTTAAGGAAGAGCAGGGAAGACAAAAATTCTAGAACAGAGGGAGCAAGAAGATTAATAATTCATAATAGTTTAGACGTGTTATATACTAAAACATACTAATAATTAAAAGTGGGGCTAACTATACTTCTATGATTTCCTGTTACTCTTGAAAAGCTTCCTATTTGGACAAAAGCAAAAGGAACTCTAAGGAATACATGTTTTTGAAATAGAAAAAGATCTAACAGAAAGGAGGTTAAATGTCAAGAGAAAGACCTGATTTCTGTCAGGAATAATGCTACACACTTGTAATCACAGCACTGGGGCAGCTGAGGTAAAAGAAACAGTAGCTCAAGACCAGCCTAGCAAGGTGGCTTACTTGTTTATTTTTTTTAATTGAAAAGTGCTGGGCACCGGTGGCTAATGCCTATAATCCTAGCTACTCAGGAGGCTGAGATTTCAGGATCATGGTTCAAAGCCAGCCCGGACAGAGACTCCAATTAACCACCACAAAACTGGAAGTGGTGCTGTGGCTCAAAGTGGTAGAGTGCTAGCCTTGAGCAAAAAGAGCTCAGGAACAGCACCCAGGCTCTGAGTTCAAGCCCGATGACTGACAAAAAGAAAAGGGAAAAAGAAAAAAGAAAAAAAGAACTATATGCATATATTTAAAGATTTTCAAAAAGGATAGCACATATTAAACCACTGCTTCAGATCAGACTGCAACACAGTATCTGTACGTTAAGTACGACTTGAATTTCTTCCCAATATCTTCTCTAGGGCTGCAGCTGTATTCCTACAACCTTTCACTACCACCATGCTGAGGTCTTTGTGATTGTTTCATTAGCTCTCTTAGAGGCTGACCCACCAGTGTGATGATGAGGTCTTTACCCCAGGACCAGGATCAACGGATGCCATAAGAAGCCTGAGAGGAGAAAGTTCTAGTATATAATCAAGAGCCTTTGAAGTAAAGAAAGAAAAGCCACCATGCTGGGCCATATGTCCCCACTTGCAGTTCTGAGACACCAGAGGGAAGTTGGGTTTTGAGGAAGGTTTGCTAAACCCACAGGAAACTCCACCTGTAATAGTCATATGGATTTGGGGTAGTGGACTTTAGTACGCCAAGAGTATAGTAAAATTCAATCTCTGTGACAATCTCAGAGACAGCGCAGATACAGAAAGCTATCTTTTGCTTTAAAAGCAGACATTTTAACCTAACAAGCAAATTGTAAAAGAAAAATATGTATATATCATCCCATTTTCCTCCAAAAAGAAAGAGTATAAAGGAAGGAAGGGAAGGAAGAAAAAGAAGGAAGGAGGAAGGGATAGTAAGAAGGGTAAAGGAAGGAGGAAGGAGGAAAGGGAGGGAGGCAGGCAGGCTAGTAGAAAGGATGGCCTCACCCTCCGTGGAAACGTCCTCTCTTTTGCTCTTGCTGAATCCGTATGTTCTCCAGTCTCAGTGGACTTGGGATGAAGCCGATCTCACAACCCTCTTTCACCAGCCTTCCTATCCACCAATCATTGTTATATTTCTAGAATGCAGAAAGAAAACTGCTATCATTAGTAATTCACAGCTGGGCATTAGTGGCTCACACCTATAATCCTGGCACTCAGGAGGCTGAGATTTGAGAATCACAACTGGAAGCCAGCCTGAGCAGGAAAGTCCTAGAGACTCTTAACAATTATCCACCACAAAAGTTGAAAGTGGAGCTGTGGCTCAAGTGGCAGTGCACTAGCCTTGAGCAGAAAAGCTCAGAGACAGCACCCAGGCCCTGAATTCAAACCCTAGGGCCAGTGTATGTGTGCACATGCACACATATGTACACACACATACATAGTAATTCACAGACCTTCACATTCTAATAATTAAGTTCAAGGCTCCAGAAGAACGGAACACTGCTTAAATAATGTGCCATATCTTTTTGAATGAATTATATATATTACTTTTATTGTAATAATATACATATTGTATATTATACATATAAAGAAAATATATGTATACATATATACATACTATATGTATAGTATCATATATATCATATTGAATGTGTTATGTATAAATACCACTTTTATTATAGTATAAAAGTTTAGGCTCATAGACTCAAGTGGGGTTGTATAGACTCTTTTCCTATTGTGGCCCACATAGATTTTACATATGAGCTCTATGGCAGCTATTCAAGCCTGTTGTCCTAATGTGAGAGTGAGTAGCTTCAGAAATGGACAAACAAGAAAGCATAGTTGGGTTTCAATAAAACTTATCTTTACAATAAGACAGTAGGGCAGCTCCTATTAAAATGGAGTCTTAGACATCAGATCTTTCTGGTCCTTATTAAGAAAGCCTTAGATATTCTTAACAAATAGATTTTTATCAAAATTTGTATCAATGTAAATGAATTCTGAAAGACGAGATAGAAATATCTGAGATAAAATACATTCAATAATCTGTTACTAAAGAAAACTTTCAGGTAAAAATTCTATGACATTATCAGTAGTCTACTCACTCTTTTGTAAATATAGGTTTACTACATTAAAGCCCATCTTACCACTTGGAGAAAAATAAGCTCAGTCTTACAAAGTTTAGGCATATGTTTGTATGTAAAATTATAGAAATAATATCCAAATGCTCTGATCTCATCGAGAGCTCCAAGATTTCCACTTACAGTTCCATGACAAATAAACATGAGATGCACATCTACACACAGGTTTCAACTGACATGGGGAGAGACCGTCAGAAGAGCCTTATTCGATGGGTCAGTAAAGCTGCAATTGTACTTATTGATTTGCTGAATTCTAGAGAGGAAAGCAATTTAATCCAGGTCACCTGCCTTAAGGGAAGGTTCCTGCTAGGACATTTTTAGAAAATAGATATTAATCCTACTGTTTAAACCCCTCAAGAGATGATTACAAAAGCTTTCTTTATTGTCTTTATCAATGTTGGGCAGGACACCTCTCTCTGATTATCTATCTGTGTATTTTCAAAATGTAACAACTATATGTAGGACTTGTAGCTTAACTCAAAGGAAAGTAGAATTTCATCTGATTCTGGTACCTTGTGATGGAAGAATAGAGGGTTTCATAGAATCATTGCGGCCTGAAATTCTGAGTAACTTTCAGTAATTCTGAGTTACAGCCTCATACCAAAAAGAAAATGATATAGGAAAATTTGGTCTTTATTATGTGCGTGCTCCTGCATGAGGCCTGGCTGGTATGAAGCAGGAGCCTGCACTGGAAGGACTAGGAAAAAGACCTCATACAATCTTGCACAGTCTTACACCTTAGTTTTCCCCATGTTCCTGTCTCTCATTTCAGGATAACACGCCTGAAATAACAGGTCTGTTTATTTTTTAATTAAGAAAAAGCAAACAGACTTTTTTAGAATCTTCAGTCAGTGCCTAGGTCCAGAATTTAAATTTTCCTGTGGTGGGGACAAAACAGACCATGAGTCATCATTTCCTAGGGTTTAAGTTATTTCCTGAAATGAAATTAGCCCACTGGAATACTAATTTGTTAAACAGTACCCAAGTGACCTTCAAAGGGCTTCCTAAAATGGTTAATGCAACTTTCCAAAATGGTTTGTTGAACTTGGTTCTAGGAAAGGGCTGAAGTACAACTAGAGTATGACTCAATGTGAGTGAAAATTCTTTGAGCTACTTAGGAGGAAGTTGCCAAGTAAATTTAAGAGTTTAAGTCAGTCATCATTTGGCTTATGGGTGTCTTCATTATGGAGCAAGTACTTAGAATAGTACACAAGAGATGGTCTTCTAGGTGACAGATGAGAGGCAAGGCTGAAACTTATGATTATAGGTTCATTTGTAGTATTGATATCTGATAGCTTGTGCCAGCTTTCTTGGAAGGTCACCTTAGAGTGTTGGTTCAATCTTTTCCATTTTGATTACAATATTCTCTTTCTAAGATTTTTTTTTAATCTGATCGTCCAACAGCTGAAAACAAGTGTCTCTGATCTACCTAAGATGACCTGCTCAATACCAGACATCAGGCTGCTGGATGGAAGAGAAAGTCTCTGATCAAAGAAGCATATAGATCCAAAAGCAACCAACAAGACAGGTTAAAATATCGATAGAGAAGCCTAAAAGGCTCCAAACTCAAAGTAATGACAAGAAGATAAAAATGTTAATGTTAGCAAAATTAAGATTAATAGACTTTGCCAGAGAACCACACAGACATCCAGTTACATAGAACAAAGAAAGGTTTATTGCCAGAAGAGGGGGGCTGGCAAGACTCCTTCTCACAAGGGGAGAAGCACCAGCTATTATCTGGGGTGACTTATATAACCTAGGGGGTTTAGGAGGAGCTAGGAGGCAGAGACCCTGGTGTGGACACAAGCCAGGGGCTTCATCATGGCGGACTAGGATTTATGGCTGCTATCCAAATAGTAGATAAGGGTCCTGCAATTGTCCAGACCTGAAGGTCACTGTAAGGGGCTCTTGTTGCCTTATATGGTGGTAGCTTCCCCAGAGAAGTGCCATCCCAAGGTAAAGAGGGCTGGAAGTTGATTATTTACTGCCTTTACTACATGGGCCTGGTGTTGCCTAGGAAGGGAGCATGCTAAGCTATGGAGAAGGGAGGAAGTGGACTAAGGGAAGGGAAGGGACTCATTTTGCTAACAGTTAATTATACTGATTTGAACAGTATTATTGTATCTATGCATTGAAATATCACCCTATAAGCCATAACTGTGTACAACTATCATTTGACAAACAAAAAGAATTTTAAGGGTGTAAGGAGTTGACAATGTTAACTAGTCTGATTTGTTACGTATTATATACATTTATCAAATGATCATACTATAACACATAAGTATTTCCTATTAAGAGAATAATTTATAAAAAAAGAATACTGATAGATTATTGGAACATTTGGGAGAGTATGCATACAATATGGAAGGACTTCTCTGACCCTTTGGGGAGTGCTGGTATGGAAGCGTGAACTCAGAGCACTTAGGGCCTCACAATCTTACTCTGTTCTGGTGCTGCCCACCCTGAAACACTTGAGCCATGACTCTAGTCAAGTTTTTTTGTGTGCTGGTCCTAAGGCTTGAACTCAGGGCATCCCCACCCCTCAAGGCTAGGGCTCTGCCACTGGAGCCACAGCTCTACTTCCAGCTCATCAGGTGGTTAATTGGAGATAAGAGTCTCACAGACTTTCCTGCCTTATCTCAAACCATGATCCTCAGATCTCAGCCTCCTGAGTAGTTAAGATTATAGGCATAAGCCACTGGTGTCTGGCACTTTTGCTTACTTTTTAACGTATGTCTCCTTAGAAACAATGAGTATTAACAACTCATGAATATGGCTTGGTCATTTTTGGGAAATGGTAACAGAATGAACCATTCAAGTACTGGGGGCATATGTTCAGGCCAAAGGTCTTTGTCTTTTAGGCAGATGTGGATATCCTCAACTCACCTATTCCTTTGTCCATCTCTCTTTTCTCATCCACCTCTCCTCTTCCCCAGATGTTAATATCAACCTGTGGGCCAGATATGGTGCTGTACTCCTGTAATTCCAGTACTTAGGAGGAGAACATTGCTCTTTTCCTCAAGTCTCTAGATGATGGAGGTAAGCATGTTCATATAAAAGTTCACATAGCCCCCTAGGATGCTCCAAAGGAAGTTCATCACTATACCGACCCTTTCAACAAATCTGCTTCATTCTCTGCTCTTTCTGTTTGGATAGCTGACACTACAGGTTAAAATTCTTTTCTGTCCTTTGAAGCACATTAGAAAAACTGTCTTCTGACCTCTCCCCTCACTTTTCCCACTATCCCCACCCATGTAAAATCTCCAATATTTTATACTTGCCCTTTACTCTCTTTCTCCAAGTTGCTGCTCTCTCCATCTCTGTCTGGCCTCAGTGCTGGGCACTGGAGAATCAGATGTTGCCATTCTCATTTCCCCTCCTATTATTATTCTTACAGAAAAGGCCAATCACAGCTGTGCTCTATCTCAGATTCTTCTCTATCCCACTGCCTGGGGATAAAGACCAGGCTTCTTGCCATGGTCAAAGAAGTTTTTCTTCAGTCTAGCCTTTGCCTTTCTGACAAGGCCCCTACCCCATACATACTGCACAGCTCACTGCTATTCCTTTCACCTGATGCTCTTCCTGGCCTAGCCCAGTCCCCTCAGGCTTCACCCCTTTCCCACCCCCCTGTAGAGCTTTCTGGTCCGCTGATCTCCTTTCCCACGGGATGGCCCCGCCTCCTCTTTCTTTAGAATTCTGTAGCACCCATCTGATTTTCCTATAATAAAACATCATTCTGTGTAGGAATCATGCATATCAGCCCATCCTCCTACAGGCTCAGAGCTTTCTGTTTATGGAGACAGTAATGGCATCTGATTCTCCAATGTCCAGCTCAATATCTGATAGAAAGTAGAATTTCAATGTAGCTAGGATGAATAAAGGAAGTGTGTCATATTATTATTCAATCTTCTTAGATGTAAGGCCTTAAGCCCTTAAGCTCTCTGTTTTCCTAGTCTTCTGTCCTTTTCTTAGATTTACTATTGCCTTTAAAGGATTACATATTCTGGTTTTGGTTCCAAGATCACAGTTCAGAGGATAATATCCAGTGCCTGTAATTATAACATCTCTTGTAAACACTTGTTGAGGGTAGGTGACATACCACCCAACTCATGTTTCCCTAAGCTGGATCTACGGCTCCACAGCCACACAGCGGGATTAAAAGACGGGCAGGGGGAGAGCTTCATAGAAGGGCACTTATCAAATACACACAAGGTTTGATCCCAAACAATGGAAGGAACTGGGCAGAAGAGCACAAGTCTGTACTAAATGTATCCTATAATCTGAAAGGTTGACCATGATCCAATGTTTTAAGTGTGTAATAACATAGGTAATGATCTCTGGCTTCTCAATTTTGGTGAGCTTGGATATAGAAGGCCTAGAAAACTAAAGAGGCACCCCACTGGCAGTTCTTCTGATCTATTCTCTGGTGGGTTCAGCATGTAGCTGGTTCCCAGCTTTGGCTTTTAGTCAGGCTAATAGATGCAGCATGGCCTATGTTTACCTCTTTAATGTGTAGAAAGTCCTTTGCATCAAAGGAGATGGCCGTGCTTGGAACAGGCACATCCTCATCCAGGGCGCCACAGTAGCTGACATTCGTCTTCACGGCAAACGCAACAGGTTTGGACTAGGGAGAACAGAACCACAGAATAAGAAGTAAGGGACTGAGGAGTGTTCTTCATGTTGAAATCTATCATACAATGACTGATAGTACCAGAAAGTAAGGGAAATCACTATCCAAAGGGGGATCTCAGCTAAGGTTTCCTTTCCCAGGCCACACCCAGAAATCTGTAGAGATGACACTGAAAATAATCTAGTCCTATCAGTCTAGCCATTTATCTTCTCCTTTGGTACTTCCCAACATCCTGAAAAACATAGGTAGGGACAATCTGATTTCTTCTTTGGTCATAAAAAGCTATTGATCAGGGGCTGGGAAGTTGGCTCAGTGGTAGAGTGCTTGCCTTGCATGCCTGAGGCCCTAGGTTCGATTCCTCAGCACCACATAAGCAAAAAGAAAAAAGCTGGAAGTGGCGTTGTGGCTCAAGTGGTAGGGCACTAGCCTTGAGCTGAAGAGCTGAGGGACAGTGCTCAGGCCCAGAGTTCAGGCCCCATGACTGGACCAAAAATAAATAAATAAATAAAAAATATAAAGCTATTGATCAGCCAAGTGCTGGTAGCTTATACCTGTAATCCTAGGTACTCAATTCAAAGCCAGCCTGGACAGGGAAGTCTGTGAGACTCTTATCTCCAAGCTGGGAGTGGAGCTATGGCTCAAGTAGTAGAGTGCTAGCTTTGAGCACAAAAGCTCAGGGACAGAGCCCAGGCCCTGAGTTTAAGTCCAGAACTGGCACACACACACACACAAAAGAAGCCATTTACCTCAAATGGTAACAGATATCTTCCATATAGGGATATACGAAATGCATGATGAATGTAAAAGGGGGGAATGAAATAGTCTCAGATCTGAAAATCTATCAGATCATATGCAGTAGAATTTATTGTGCTGTCCTAGGAAAGAAGGGCCAGCCTGGGTTAAAGCTGATGAGCAAGGCTCTTCATGCAGCATCTTACTATGAAGGCCAAGTTGCTGTCAAACTTGTGATCCACCTCCCTCAAATGCTGGGATTCTAAGAGACCAGCACCACACCATGACTTCATGCATTATCTCCATAGCTTAACAAAAACTGGTTTAGAAACTTTTTTGAACACATTTCTCTCTGCAAAGTGCATTTGACTGGGATCAGCCTTGGTAGGGCCAAGTAAGCCACCGGCCTAAGCTAATGGTGCTGCCATCAGCATGTGGGTGACCAAAAAGAGCAAAAACAGAAAGAAAAAAAATCAAAATAAGCATTAACCACATAGGAGATACAAACTCCCTGAAATTACAGGCTGGCTGGTTACTGTATCATGTACTTGGCCCTGGGAATATGACTGGTTCACAGTTGAGGCAGGACCCAAGTTAGAATCTCACTACTGAAAATCATCTTCCACACAGCACAGATGGTACTGGTATCTAAGCAAAGACACTTCATGTACCTGAATCACGCTTCAAGACATTCACTTTATTTGGGCTTGTCTTTTTCCTCCTAAAAATGGTAAAACCTAAGTTGACATGCTGAAGGAGTCTATCATGGAGACCAAAAGAGAGGCTGGCCTCTGTATGTTGGTATTATGCATAAAATTTCATGTGACAAAGGAGTGTATGCACTAAAAGTAAAAGGTGCAAAACATGGGATGAGAGATCGCTAGTAAGCCATGTACTCTGCTTCTTGTTGATTCCTAGTCCAGAGAGGAAGCTAAAGGTCTACTGGGGAATGGCTTTTATCACTCAACTTTGCTTCACTTATCTGAATTGTTTGAGTTCTTAACTTAGTTAGTGGCAGTGGTACACACCTGCCATCCCAGTTCACTTGAGAGACTGAGGCAGAAAGATCCATTGAACCCATGAGTGTAAGAGTAGCTTGGACAATATAGCAAGACTCTTTTCTCATAAGAACAAACAAAACTAAATTTCTGAGCTTCACAATGAACTTGAGGTGGGAGACTGCAACTGAGAAATAGAGGAATAGAACCAACGAGGAAATGCACAGAGCAACAGGGCATGTGTGAACTGTATGAAAGAATATGTACGGGACAAGGAAGGGTCAAGAACAGGGGACATGAACTAGTCTCTTTGAAGGCTCTTGGCCAACACTGGCATGGTGAATTTGATATATTGTCATATTGAGACAATAATTTACCAAACCACACATAGAAGGGTATCGTTCTCAGGAAAAGCACCTCTGAAAATGTTAATATTTCCTTCAGGAGTGAATGGACCAGAAATTGGACCAGAATGGACTAAAAGTTCTTTGAAGTCTGGAACACCATCAGGATGAAGAAGGAAGTGAGAAAGCATTTTAGAGAAATGAGAGGCAGGAGAAAGGCAGCTGACAGCTGCTGAGCAACAGGTCAGTAGTGAACCAAAGAAGGGGCAGAAAGTCACCTTTGCTCTCTCAAGCTGGATAGCTGCTTGCTGTTCCCTCTCTTGCCGAATCGCTTCCCTGTCCTCCTCCAAAGAGACATCGGAGTCAGATGGCCTGCTTGTATAGGAATCTGCTGAACCCTGGAAAGAGAACACAGAACAGCTCAAGTGAGGTGATGTGTGGCTTCTTAAATTGTCACAGCCATAACAGTATCCCGGGGTGTGAGTTCCTTCATTTGCATCGATTTTGATGCGCATGCTCTGTGCCTTACCGCAGATATAAATTTAGATGGCAGAATATATAGTTAGGCGTCTGAGTTATTTGGAAGGTAGCAATGTTGTGAAGGAAAATATTTTGACTAGATTAAGTGTTAGGAAGTAAACTGCAATGAAAACCATGTGACATCCAGCCCCAATTCTTGGGTTGTGCTATCTTTATATTAAGCCCACACTCATTTGTAGAACTCAAGTTTTCTTCCATTCTCTTTTGCATATACCACTCATTCAAAGGAAAAGGACATTGGCCTATTTCACGGCCACATTTCTACCTGTATCTTGTCTAAGATTTCCACACAGCAAAGCAGTATCCTATATTAGTAAAAAGGTGAATTTGCTACTGAACTCTTTCACTGTTAAAAGTGCTAGGTGCTTATTCCTATAATCCTAACTACTCAGGAGGCTGAGATCTGAGAATCATGGTTTGAAGCCAACTTGGGCAGGAAAGGCCATGAGACTCTTTTTTTTTTTTTAAGGGTTGGTTTTTTGTTTGTTTGTTTGTTTTTTAACTGTATTTTTTTTTTGTCTTTTCTTTTTTGGTACTGTGGATCAAACCCAGGACGTTGCACTTGCTAGGCAAGCTCTTTGCCACTGAGCCACATCCCAGCCCCCATGAGACTTGTATTTCCAATTAACTACCTAAAAACTGGAAGTGGAGCTGTGGTTCCAAGTGGTAGAGCGCTAGCCTTGAGCAAAAGAGCACAGGGACAGTGCCCAGATCCTGAATTTAAGCCCCACAACCAAGAAAAAAAAAAAAGAGTTCAAACATTGTTATACAGCAGCCCATATGTAGTGAATATGGACAGAGCAGAAGCAGCACCTTTAGGATGAAACCAGAAATGTTTATAGTTGAAGCATATGCCCAGGACTATTTGATTGATAACTAAGATCCAGCCTGACCAGTATGGTCAAGAGATGGGATACCCAGCATCATCTGGTACCAAAACATAAGAGGAGATGAAAATCAGAGCAGCTAGTTAAAAACTCACCTCCCACCCCAAGAAAGAAAAAAGCAAACAACCCTAGAGGTTTCCCTCTGGATGCAACTGGAATATCCTTAAGCTTGCATTAGAAGTTAACATTTACATAGATGACAACATTTACCCAGCAAAAGTATTGCTAGTGTTTATCACATATCATACATTATATTCAGGCATTTGGGCGAAACATAGATCTAGCCACATAGAGGAGAATTTGATATCTACTGGGAACAAAAGACTTTAAGAAATGGTGACATGTTGAAGCCGGTCCTTTGGAAGTTTTTCTAATTTAGAGAGATTTATTGTAAATTCGATGTATGTAAGGGAAGTTTTATCTTTCAGCAGAGGCATCATTCTAGCTGGGACGGTCTTTCTCATCATAGGAAAGTCCCAGCATAAATTTTGCTGACAATCTAAAGCAACAATTTCTGTTTGGTTTTGTTTTATCAGTTTTTATTGGCATCAATTAGTTATACAAGAAGGTTTCATTCTCACACACACACACACACACACACACACACACACACACACACACACACATATATACATATACATTCACATATGTATATATAAGTATATGTATATACGTATGTATGTATATATATATATGTGTGTGTGTATATATATATGTATATATATATATAATGTACCTTGCTCACCCTCACCCACTCTGTTACTTTTTCTTGTCTACACTCCATTCTTCCCAAACCAACCTCAAAGCAAGTTTTCTTGTTCCATTTTCACCAGTGTACATATTCTGACCATATTCATTCTCCTTCATCCTCTTCCTTCATTAGCCCTCTCTTCTCCCAATGGTACCCTATACTCCCGACAGGAACTGTTTTACATTCGTGCCATTCATTTTTTTTAGTGTATGTTAACTGTCCAAAGGGGTTCATTGTGGTATTTCACGTGTGCATATATTTTAATTAGATTGACCCCTTCATTTAATCTCACATTTACCATACCCATAACCCCTGATCATTCAATAGCTTCCACTGGGTTTTGTTTTAGTATTTTCATTAACAGATGTGCCACATTTTGTAAATTGTTCACCCTCTTTTTCCTCCCTACCTCATAATCCCCTCAGACAGACACAATTACAAATGTTTTTTGTGAGTACATATATACATATGCGGTCCTCTGTGTATCTGTGTGTATGTTTATCTTTTAGATCCAACTTCCACATATGAAAACAAAACCATGTGATCTTTGTCCTTTTGAACCTGGCTTACATCCTGTAACATGATGATCTCAATTTCCTGTAAACTATTCTTGTTTATGGCTGAATACTTCAAAAGACATACATATACGCACATACAACATTTCCTTGCTGCACTCATTAGTTATCAGATAACTTAGCTTTTGTGAATAGCGCTGGAATGAACAAGAGTAGTACAGGCACTTCTACTGTATCCAAATTTCATTACTTTGGATATATACCAAACAGTGGTAAAGCCGGATCATATGACAGCTTTATTCCTCTTCCTCCGGTTTTGATTTTGGTTTTGCTTGGAGGTATAGGGCTGCACTGGAGTTTGAACTCAGGGTTTACTATTTGTGTCACACCGTAGCCTTTTAATTAGAGGTTTAATGACAGTGCCCAGGCAAGCACTGGATTCTTTGCAGTATATTCCCAAAACCTTTATGCAGACAGTCTCGTCTATGAAAAGAACAATGCCTACTTCACAGAAGTAAATGGAGTAAGATATAGGTGCAGCTAATTTTGAGTGCTCACCATCATATGGATGCAGAGTTAGATGCTTTGTTGTACTTTATCATACTGACTCACTCCTTGCAGCAGTAGAGTAGCTCAGACTTCAGCTGGGTTGGGTCAATGTGATATCCAGCAGGTTCAAATCCCACAAAGAGTTGCATTTCATGTTACAATACTCCAGGACCACACATAATATGCACACAATAAATTATCCTTCTTATCTCCTAGTGCTAACCTTTCTACATTGATTTTTTTGAGACAAAATAAGGCATTTTAATCACTGCAACTCATCTATACATGTACAATAACCCATCCGGAACACTAGCCATTTTTCTTACTGTACTTACGATAACATGCTATAATTTGATAATTGTTATGCATCCATTTACATAATGTAGTACTTTTGAAAATGTCCTTTACAGAGCAAATGTATCTGTTAACCAAACTGAAATTAAATTCCTCTGTGCAAATTGATTGGGAAAAAAATATGGGCTCACAAAAGAGATGATAGAGGATGACTTTTATAGATGCAATGATTGTCTAAAAAAAGAGTGACCCTGAAATCCTTTAAAACAGAGTTGTTAGCATACCGTGGCACATACTTGTAGTCTCAGCGACTCTGGAAGCAGAGAGCAGAAGATTAAGAGCTGAAGTGAGCCTGGGTCTCAAAATCAACCTTGTTGATGAGATTTCATCTCACTAACAACTTGGGTATGATACTCCTGTAATCCAAGGTACATGGAAATAGCAGGTAAGAAGATCAAAGTCCTAGGCTGGCTCTTGACAAAAACACAAGATTCAATCTGAAAAATAACTAAAGAAAAAATGGGCTATAGAGCTGATGTGGTAAAGTGACTGCCTAGCAAGGATGAGTCCCTGAGTTCAAACCCTAGGACCAAACAAACAAATGACAACCACCACCACCAAAAAAAAAAAACCCACACACACAAAAAATCCCAAACCCAGAGAATTCTCTCAGGACACATCAGGACAGTCTAAATTTAGGCACACTTATATAAAATCCAAACTAACAGAAGAAGAAAGGATGTTGCTAAAATATCTGTGAAACCAGTCTGCCCCTAGTTCCTGGCAATGCTTTGTTGGAGTTTGGTAAGTATGGTGGCCCAGCCCAGTAGGCTGCATTGACTGTCCTGAGCACTATGTACCACAAAGCCATTACAAAAGCATAAGCAGGAAGGAGGCCCATGCATTGCATGGGAACACATGCCAGGCAAGGCTAGTGATTCTAGTTCACAAGAAAGCAGGCTGTGCACTGCAGCCATAAGACAAGCATATCCCACTCTGGATGTCAGGCCATGGCTAGTGTTCTTAAATTACAATGGCTTTCAAATGCTAGCATGCCATCACCTCACAGCATGCAAGGAAATGAACTTGATTTTGAAATGCGAACAAGAATTCCAAAATGTCTTAAAGTTCTATTATTGCCAAATACATAGAAGCAGAAGTTTCTGTTTACTTCTGTATTTGTAGACAGGTTGATGTCCTTTTCATCATTACCACATCCATTTTGGGTTTTTCCCAAATGGAATCTGTATTTCCTGTACCATGAACAGTATTGTGGCTATTTCTCATAGTACAAGGGACCAAAGAAGTCTCAAATCAAGGGCAAAGTTTGGTCCATGGATATGTTCTGCTGGCTTGGTACTGATTTATGTTTCTTGTTTATTTATTTAAGCTTTAATTATTTTGTACAGGTGGGACTTGAGCTCAGAGCCTTGAAGCTCTATGAACTGAGCTCAAATTCTGGCTTTTTGCTGATTAATTGGTGATAAGAGTCGCACACACTTTCCTGTTGGAGCTAGCTTTGAACTATGATCCTTAGATCTCAGCTTCCTGAGTAGCTAAGATTACAGTTGTGAGCCATCAGTGACCAGCATTTATTTATTTTTAAGTTTCATTTTAACTGGTCCAAGAAAATATAGACATGTTCCAGAAAATGTATGGAAAAAGGTAAGACAAGAATCTGCGTTGTTTATAAAGGCAATGTGCAAAGGACACACAGCCACAGAGTAGCCAAGAGAAGACCTGCTGGGCTTGACATGAGGAAGAACCTAGGGAAAGAAAGGGAACTCAGCTTTCTGGGAGGGGGATGACTCAGAGGTATGGCTGAACACTTACAAATCAGCAAAAGAGAATGGCAAGAGACC